ACAAATGTGGGAAAGTTTTTAGACAAATAGTTCACCTCATTCGACATAGGACAGCTTACACTGGGGAAATGCTTTTATGAGTATAGTGCAGTGATGGCGAACCTATGACACGCGTGTCAGAGGTGACACGCGAACTCATTTTTTGGGTTGAGTTTTCTTTGTTAAATGGCATTTAAATATATACAATAAATATCAAAAATATAAGTCTTTGTTTTACTATGGTTGCAAATATCAAAAAATTTCTATAGGTGACACGGCACCAGAGTTAAGTTAGGGTTTTTCCAAATGCTGGCACGCCGAGCTCAAAAGGTTCGCCATCACTGGTGTAGTGACTGTGGCAAGTTCTTCAGCCGAAGCTCTAGCCTGGCCAGATTTCATCCCATAGAAAAGGCATACACTTGTAGTGATTGTGGGATGTCTTTCAGTCACAGGTCTACCCTCATTCAACACTTGCAGGATTCACCCTGGAAAAAATCCCTATGGCAAGTCCTTCAGTGAAAGCACTGCTCGCATTAAACACCACAGACTTCACACGAGAAAGGCCATATGAGTGCAGTGTTTGTGGTAAATGCTTTAACGGCAAATTTATCCCCATTTGGCCTCGGGTAGTTCATACTGGAGAGAAGCCATTTGAGTGTACTGATTGTGGGAAGTCCTTAAGCACAACTCTGCCCTCATGCGACACAAAAGACTTCCCACTGGAGAAAAGTGGTATGAATGTAGTGATTGTGGGAAATGCTTTAGTACAAATATAAACTCATTGAACATTGGAGAATTCTCCCTGGAGAAAAGCATTCGGAGTGCCTTAAAGTGTAAGAGGTAACACAGCAAGAGTCCGCACTGAGGACTAAGGCCCATACCCAGAGAGAATTTCAGGATTTGCTCTCTGTCTGAGAAATATGTCAGGTTCCTAACAGGAATTGAATATGTCTCATAATATTGTGTAGGAAATACTAAATGGATAAAAAAGGTTCTATGGATCAGACACTGTCACGGAGGACACAAGCAGCAGCAAAGTTCTTTGTGGACACCTGAGGCACCGTCAACTCCTTGTCCTCACATATGAGGGTGGCCTAAATTCTATCAAGTCCTGGCCCAGACTGAAGGTACAGAAACTTACAACATTTAGTAATGTTTACGACTCCGTTTGAGTTGACAGAAATGGTGTACACATTCCAGCTACTGGTGAGAGTTGATGCATTTTGTGTCTTGATGACAATGAGAGAACCCTGCTTCACACAATGTCCCTCTTTTGTTCACAACCACCCCTGGCCCCCCGCATCCTGAGGTAGGGTTCTTCGCTCCGCCCACTCGTATATACAGTCCTTGGGGATGATTAAAAGAATAGGCCTCAGAGAGCATGCTGAGCTTCATAGAATCTAGAACAATATCCAATATGGAAGTCAGCAGTTGCACAACACTGCCCACAGACCTGCCAACCTGCCCTGAATCCTACAGTTGTTGCAGCCATGACCAGGGGCCCTTGGCATAAAGAGGAGGTGCTTTAACAAACTGACTTATTTAAAAAAAAAAATGTACTGACTTTTTACAAAGAGGAAGGGAGAGGAATAGAGAGTTAGAATCATCTATGAGAGAGGATGTGCCCTCAACCAGGGTACATGCCCTTGACCAGAATCAAACCTGGGACCCTTCAGTCTGAAGGCCGACGCTCTATCCACTGAGCCACACCAGTTAGGGCCAAACTGACTTATTAAGGCAGAGTATAGGCCACACCTTTATTTATTATTATTTTTTTAAATGTTTAATTGATTTTTTTACAGAGAGGAAGGGAGAGGGATAGAGAGTTAGAAACATCGATGAGAGAGAAACATCGATCAGCTGCCTC